TCTTATTAATAGATGTCCTTCCAGCTCTCTGAATAACAAAATTCCCGAACAAATCTGGTCTGGTTCAATGCCAGATTATTTTCACCTAAGGACTTTTGGATGTGCAGCTTATGCACATCATATTAAGTCAAAACTGGACCCTAGATCAATGAAGGGTGTGTTCTTAGGATATGGAGAAGGGGTTAAAGGCTATAGATTGTGGTTAAGAGATGTGAAGGGTTATAGAGTGATAATAAACAGATCTATTATCTTTAATGAAGATAATTTTCCTTGTCTTAGTGACAAATCTGGTGAGAAGTTAGGAAAGGATGATTTTATTATCACAGAAATTAATTCCGATAACCACAATTCTGATGACCAGGCTTAGTTCGAGGTGGAGCCACATCAGATAGTACCCCAAAATGATTCTGATGTTGAAATAATTGAAGATGAACAACATCTGGAGCCTGCACATGACCTGCAGGGCTACCAACTTGCTAGGGATAGAGAAAGGAGGGAAATAAGACCTCCTTCTAGGTATCAACATGCTAATTTTGCATCTGATCAGTCTGAAACTGATCTGTTCGAACTAGAACCTACCTCTTATGAAGAGGCTATATCTTCCAAGGAATCCCCTAAGTGGATTGCCGCGATGGAAGATGAAATGAACTCAATCTTTAAGAATGAAGCCTGGACTTTAGTAGAAAAACCCAAAGATTGTAAGTTGATTGATTGTAAATGGGTTTATAAGATTAAAAGAGGGTGAGACAAAGGCTAGTGATAAGAGGTTTAAGGCAAGACTTGTAGCTAAAGACTTTAATCAAAGGGAAGGGATAGATTACAATGAAATTTTTTCACCAGTTGTTAAATATACATCCATTAGAGTCCTACTTGCTATAGTGACACAATTTGATTTGGAGTTAGAACAACTTGATGTGAAAATTGCCTTCCTGTATGGTTCTTTAGATGAAACCATACATATGACTCAACCAAGAGGGTTTGAAGTATTAGGAAAGGGAAACTTAGTGTCTCTTAAAGAAATCTTTGTATGGCCTAAAACAGACCCCTAATGGTATAAAAGATTTGACTCTTTTATACAAGGTTTGAACTTTAGGAAATCAGAATATGATCCATGTTTCTATTACAAGAAAGAAGGGGAATCTGATTTTTTTCTATCTACTTTTGTATGTTGATGATATGCTCCTTGCTGGTCACAATTCTGTTACACTTAATTCGATTAAAGAAAATCTGAAATCTGAATTTGAAATGAAAGATTTAGGACCAGCTAGAAAGATTTTGGGCATGAAAATAAAAAGAGATAAGATAAATGGAAAGTTATTTCTAACACAAAAATCTTATGTTGATAAGGTTGTAAAAAGGTTCTCCCTTCATGAATCTAAGCCTGTTAGTTTGCCTTTATCTGCTGGTATGAAATTATCTGTCAATCAATCACCTAAAACTGAAGAAGAGCATAGAAGAATGATAAATATGCCTTATTCTAATGCTGTTGGATCTGTTATGTATGTTATGGTTTGCTCTAAACCTGATATTGCTTATGCCGTGGTGTGTTAAGTAGATTTATGAGTAACCCAGGTGAAATACATTGGCAATGCATGAAAAATCTGATTAAGTACTTGAAAGGAACTAGTAACTTAGGTTTAATGTTCAAAACAAATAAAAATGGACTCAGACTTAAGAGATATGTAGATTCAGATTTTCCTGGTAATCCGGACAATAGGAAGTCCACAACTGCATATTTTTATGTTATAAATAATACATGCATTAGCTGGAAATCCCAGCTTCAAAAATTGGTTGCATTGTCTTCAACCGAAGCTGAATACATTGCTGCAACTGAAGCGGTGAAAGAGGGATTGTGGTTAAAGGGTTTACTTAGTGAATTAAGACTTATAGAAAATCAGGTGGAGCTATGTTCAGATAACCAAAGTGTCATTTTTCTTAGTAAAAATCCTATTTTGCATGATAGATCTAAACATATAGATGTTAAGTTCCATTTCATTAGAGATATCATTGATAGGGGTGATATTAGATTGGTTAAAATTCCAATGAAGGTAAATCCAGCAGATGCCGGAACTAAGGTAATCCCTATTAGTAAATTTTCAGATTCTTTGAGATTAATTAATCTTGAAGAATATTAACTTCTGTTTTCTTTGCAGGTAAATAGAGCAAGTGAAGTCAGTTTAAGTTTTAAATCCACTTATGTACTGTCACAAAATGCAACAGAAGGTGGAGATTGTAAGAATTGATTTGCTGGGTTTTGTGTATGCCCAGCTGATTTAAATGGACTGTGAAGTGTGGCCCAAACTTGGTGGGCAATTGATGATCCATTGTGAAAAAACTTCCAGAACTAGAGCCGGTTTGTTATAAGTGCAAAACAGAAATGCGTTTTTTGTTATGAAATAACAACTCTTCCGAATTCAAGACAAGTGGCAAGAAGTGGACCGTTGGATGACAATAAATTGTTACTCTCATATAAAAGGAAAGAAAGGGGGTGATTAGGGTTAGAGTTTTTAACCCAGCAGCTTCGAGTTTTTAGAGTCTCTTTCGTCTTCTCTTTTGATTCGTTCTCTCTTTAGATCTTGTGTGATTTTGGTAGAGAGAATTAGGAATTTAGATGAACTCTTGTGTGAGTTCAATATTGTTGTGAGAAGATCTTTCCTTTTTTTGAGAAGTTTTGTAACTGTGTGTTCTTGAGACTGTTTTGCCTATTTTTGGGCTGTTCATAGTGGATTTGAGCTTATTCCTGATGGATGCTCAACGGGGATGTAGGCGTTAGATTTGGTCGCCGAACCTCGGGGCCTTTGGGCCGAAAAATCTCGTGTTCTCTCATCTTATTTTTGCTTTCTGTGTGTTCGGTTTGAAATGTGATACTGCACGAATGAATTTTTCTAAGCACAACAAATATAATAGAGTATGATTACACGACTGAATGGATTATTATCATGCTTCAAAAATATGGAAGTTTAACTCATAATGAATAATAAATTTCAAGTTGAAACTAGAAGTTTAGATTGAAAACTAGCTAATATTTGCATCAGGTTGGCAAATGGAACCAACATAAACAATGCATGGGCCGTTTCGAAAATGCCAAAATTTAAGTCAAGAAAAGTGTATCTATTGAAGAATCTTTCACAATGCCAACATTGGACTCGTCCTCCTCCATTTTTCATTTATTTATTTATTTTTATTTTTTTATAATTCAGGTGTTCAAGTTTCACCCAACTAATCCCTAGGAGTGATGGCTTTCCCTTCTTGTTTATCAACTCGGTAAGTCAGATGCAATCACAGTTATACACACTTGGACGTGATATTTGGGAAAGCGATTCTTCTCCTTGTAGACCCCCATTTATGATGTGTGACAGGACACTCGAAAGTGTGACAAAGCGCACCATGACTTTGTTCGAATAAAACCACAGCCTTCCAATATAAATGTTGCCTTTCAACTATCACTATTATTTAAACCTTTGATACTCCATATGGAACCCTCTTTCTTTATCACTGTGCCATGCTTGTGAAAGATGGACTTATCCTTCTTTGTAGGCCTGTGGAGGATCCATTTACAATAAGCTCCCAAATTTTAATCATTCATCTTTAAATAAGTCTCGAATTTTAAATTTCGGAATGAATAGTTGTTTCACTAACAGAGAAATAAGGCTTCTTTTAAAGAATGCTAGAGAGAATGTCTTGCAATGGGTGGATGGTGTACATTGAGTCTTCTCTGTTCGTAGTGCTTGGGAGTCTCTTCGACCTCGATGCCCTAGGGTGACCTGGTATCACATTGCATGGTTCCCTAAATGTATTCCCCGCCATGCATTTATCCTTTGGATAGCAATTCAAGATGGCCTCTATATACAGACAGCTTTTTTGCTTTGGATTAATACAATCTATGCATTGTGTGCTGTGTGGTTATTCTAAGGAGGATTTAGATCATCTTTTCTTTGCTTGCCCATTTTCTGAACATGTTTGGTGAGCTTTGCACATGAAATGTAACTTGCCTTGGGTTCAGCGAAGTTGGCCAAATACTCTTCCTTGGATGGAGCAATTTCGTGGCAGGTCATTGCGCTCTACTGTTATTCTTTCGATGTTTGCGGGTTTGATTTATGCTATTTGGTGTGAGCGTAATGCTAGAACCCATAGTGAGGCTCCTAAACATGAGTCTGCTGTTATTCAGGATATTGTTTTTACTATTTATGCACGAGTTGATTAATGTAGAGTCTTGGCTCCATCTAATAAAAATAGATTGTTCCAATGCTCGTGGGATTTTTCTGTGGATATTTTCTCTTGTCATGAATAGGCTATAAATCTAGGCTCCTGTTGTTGGTGCTACGAATGCATATATTCCTAGTCTTGTTTTTCCGGGGTATGCCTATGTGATCTTGTGCTTTATTCTCACACTTTAGATATAATATACTTACCTTATCCAAAAAAAAAGTTGAACATCTAAAAAACTTAGCAACACAATTATCATTTATAAAAATATTAAAACAACCTATAGAGATACTTTTCCCTTTTCTATAGAACAAAACTTTATTAAGAATATTGGCGCTATTCAAAAGAAAATATGAGAGGAAGTGAACTTTTATGAATACCTTCTTTTTTTTTTTTGAAAAAAATATGAAATAACCTAAATGATGGTGTTTTCTTCTTCTTTTCTATATAAATCATGTGTATACAATGAAGCAATAGGTGATAAAACTAATGGGTTGAAATCGCTGGTCTTATTCAGCCCCTTTGAACTTAAACTTAATTTATACCATTTGTCTATGATCAAACAACCGCGAGGAAACTGGAGTAAATAGTCCACCTTGGTATGCTAATCCATTTACGAATGAAGGAAAATGGTAATCTATAGGAACTAAAGACTATAGAAGCATATAATAACCTCACAAGCTGAGTAAGTTGTCATGCAACGATCATCAGCACATAAAACAAATTCTTAGTCATGAAATTAAAAAATAAATAAAACAAAAAATAAGTTTAAATAATATAAAAGGTAAAATTACCTCGATTTGCTTTAGTTTAGCTTCAAGAGCTGCTTTTTTGCTATTTTCCCCTGATGAAACCTCAGAAAGCTTTTTTTATGCCCTGTTCCATCATATAGAATTAATAACCAGTGTCTAGAAGTTTCTTTCAGCAAGGTTAAAACAAATAAACCAAATATAATGTCGAAACATTTCATTCCGTTTCAGTAAAAATCAGTTTTTCTTTCCGTTGAAAGAGTCTTGATCTCAAACAACAGAAACTGCTGCCAAAAAAATAAATAAATAATAATAATAATAATAATAATTTTACTTCCAAATACCTGAAAATAAAAGAAAATCAAAAAAGATAATCCAGCCAAATATCATCCAATTTTCTCAAAACCCAAAACACGAAACCCAATTTCGAAATCATAAAAGTAATGCCATCATAGACAAAACTCACTTAGGACAATGAAAAATCAGTACAAAAAAAAAAAAATCACAATGACCAGCAGGAAACACCACCCAAATTCAGGCAATTCAGACCTTAATATGAAAGATTTCCACTTCAACTTATCGACAGTTAAATAAATCCATAAATAATACTCAAAGTTTAACATACCCAAAAGTCTCAAACTAAAAGAACTTGCATACAGAGAGCACAGAGAGCAAAACCGAATTTTCTTCTCTTCTCCAATAGGCATCATCAAAAAGAATGAAATTACACGAATGGGGCAGACGAAAATACAGACAGAAATCATAAAACTTGAAATCCCTCAAATCATGTATAACAATCAATGGTACTTTTTCTATTAAAAAAGGCAGTAATAAACAATCAGTACAACATAGATGTTCGAACAGGGAAAAGAACGATTTCCACGCAGCATAGATCTAAATAAGTTTATAGAAAAAATTACATTGGAAAAAATAAAGAATAAAATAATGTTTAACGTCTCGAAAGTCGAAACCTCGAATTCATATCTTTTCATGGTGAAAGTAACTCAAAGTATATTTAATAGCAACATTAGCAGAGGCTTATTTAAAGTAGGATTTTAATCAAACAAGCAAGAACCCATCTTAAGAGCCAACTGATGAAATTCAAAAAGCAACAATGCATAAATAATTAAATAGAGCCATGATTAAAGGGAAACATAATTGAAACTAAAAATGTTAAATAATCAACAATTATACTGACAATCAAGAAGCAAGTATTACCGAGCTATGGCGATGACTGTGATTTCGAATTGTGTATAACATGAGCTGATGAAAATGCGTAGAGCTGACATGCGCAGTTGGGATCTCATTTGTAAACTAATAACCTTAAATGTTGTCATCTATTTTTAATATGACAAGGATGCTACTTCAACTGGTTAATCTCATGTTTTAATTAAACCTCGAGGTGTAACAGCGCAAAAATTGATAAAAGAAACAATTATTCGCTCAAAATTAAAACTTAAGTAAATAAAACCTAATAATTTAGCTAATCTCCACAAAGTTGGTGAATTTGGGATCCATATTTACAACTAATTGATGAACCTACATTACAAAATGAGGAAAATCAAAATCCAAGGAAAACAATTGATGAACCTATCATTTCCCATCTTCTAATTCAAGTTCTGACGTTTGAATTTCAATACATAGACTCCATTTGGTTAATGATTTTAGCAAGGAAAACACCAAGGTTGTATTTTATAGACATGCTTATGGTCTCGACATTGAAATTAGAAATGAAATTCATCAAATTAGAATGGTTCACAATATACAGGACTTCCTTGTCTAAGTTCACAATATGACGAGGGGAACTACATTATTAATTCATGTGAAAGTTGTCCTTTTAGGAATATTTCGAAAAAAAAACCGAATATTGGTTCCCTGATTCTCTTTGGAAACTAAGTAAACCTAGATTTATAAATGAAACCTAAAATTTATAACTTGCATACATTTTTTGTCCAACTTAAAGAGTCTTGAACCAATTAATATAAAACAATTTTTTTTTCTGGCGGTAAAATATTTTCAGGAATTATCAATCTAGTCATGCTTTCCGCCATCAATTGATGACAATAGATCATCCAATCTACTTCTCCCCTGTTTTGCTGATTCAATTGGGAGTCTCCCCATTTTCTCTGATACTAAACTCCTGAATCAGGGGAACAAAAAAAAGAATTAATGCCAAAAGAACCGAGGTAAATTTGCTAATAAAGAAATAGATAATACAGCTAGATAGCATTGATAGCTTAAACAGCTGCAACGCAAATCGAGACTTCGACATCATCTTATACAATTAACATACTATTCCTGACTGATATTTCCAAAAATAACCATGGTTTTTTGAACCGATTTGTCCTTAAATCACATAACAAACCACTTGTCCTCGCATCTGCTACAATATATTTATCATTGAACGCTAAAATTATAAAGTAAAAGCAAAAAAAAAATTAAAAAAAATTACGCACCATCAGACTCATTGGAGAAGAAGTCCAAGTTGTCTTCGGAAGAGTCCTTGGAGTTCGAGACTCCACCGAGCTTCATTTGGTATTTTTGGATGAAACGACAACAACATACGGTAAATAAATCTGAAGAAATACACGACAAAGCAAAGATCGAGCAAAAATACCTAAAGTCAGATAAGAAATTAACAAATCGTGAACTAAATACCTAAAAAATTGCAACAACCAAGGACAAGAAGTTCGAAATACATAATAATCAAGTAAACCCGGTGGAAAAAAAAATTTGAGAAGATGATCGAAACCCTAAAAATCGAAATCTAATTCTGAAAAAAAAAATTATGTATGTGAAACAATAAACTTAACTCTTATAGTCGACAGATCGTATTTAACACCCTTCATCTTCATGCAGAAAGTGTTGGCATCACAAGAGGTGGTAGACCTGGTGATTTTCAATTGAGAAGTTTCAAAATACCATCGCAGATGTTTGAGAGCTATGACTCGATCTTAGATATGTAACCCTTGATGGGAAAAGGAAGCTCTTGTTGGCTGTTGCAACTTGCAACACTCATCGGTGATTTATGATGCAAAAGAAAAAGAAAAAGAAAAAGAGAGAAGAAGGAAGGAGAAGTGTGGATGGTTGTCTGGGAAGCTGATGGAGAAGAGAATGGAAATTATGGTTGCGTGAAGTGTCTCAGACGTTATGGGTGTTGCGTGTAAAATTGTTTTTTCTGTCTGCAAAATAATATGACATCGTTTACGTTCCCCAAACAATAAAAAGACAGAGAAAACAAAAAAGTAAAAAAGTGGCACTCTTCCTATGAACATACAAAGTGCCTCTTTTATATTATAGGGACAAGAATTAAAAAAAATAACCCTGTCTTCTTTCCTATTGTGATTGATTGTCGTTTCAACCCAAAATAAGTTTTTTTTTTCTTTTCTTTCCAACATACAATCTGAGTTTGGAATTCTTATATTTCTTATTATTCTAAAAAGCCAATTTAATCAAGAGCAGAACAAATAGATTAAACTATTTTTTACATTATTTAAAAAAAAAATCATATTCTCTTCAAAATAAAAACATGTTGTGAGAGTGAGAGTGAGAGTGAGAGAGTAGTGTGTCTTCAGTTGATTTATTTTAATAACCAACACATAGAATATGTGTAGAAAACACAATCACCGACTTTGAACAAAATCAATTTTAATAACTTTTTTATTATAAACCTAGGACAAAATTTTGATATAGTACTAATTTAGTGAGGAGTGACATTTCTATCAAAAAATTGAATGCCATGGCACTAATTTTCTTAGACTATTGTCTGGGATATGAGATACTAGAAGTCACTCAACTTTGAAAGAAATTTCGTTCTAGTCACTTTTTTATATTTCAAACTCATCACTAAATTTCCAATTTTATTTTAGTTTAGACACCAATAAAGATTTTAATTTAACTGTATATGGACAAATTGGGCTCATAAGTTTCTCAATAATCTATTCATTCAATTTGTAAAGGTCTTATTATTTGCATAACACTCAATAGTTCTAACAATAGCATTTTCATAAAATGATTTTTGTATTAAAAGCCAGAGTTCACATACTTTGTCCAACTAACGGAGTAAACTCTGCACCCAACTTTATATAAGTCTTTAGGCGATGATGTTTAATAAATATGTTGTTAGAAATAAAGCAGGAATATGCAATATGAAAATATAAGAATAATAACACAAGATTTACGTAAAAATCCTTTTTTTTTTTTAATACGGACAGAGGAAGAGAATTCAATAATATCAATTATGGAAGATTACAAATTGTGTAGGATGATTTTTTTCTCAAGAATTTTACTCATGTGTATAGTACTAAGAGGAGAATAATATAAGGTGGGGTCCTAATATAATATGCCTAATAAATAATGGAGAGTTTTGGAATAAGCGAGAAAAATTATAAAATTGCGAACCCTAATTGCACAGGATAACACCACAACTCGAACGATGGCCTCATGTTCAGTCAGTGGTAAAGGTGCCCCCGTGCGGTTGATAGTGGTCAACGAGCATTCTCCACGCAAATAAGACTCTGTCTATCCTTAACTTCTTCAAGGCATACTATCGATTCCCAATAGAATTCGGGTCATACCCAAACTCTAACAATTTCCACTTTGACACGAATTCCATTGCAAGGAATAAAACTTCACTCTTATTAAAAATTTTGACTTTAAGACAAATTCCAATTCAAAAAAAATAAAATAATAACTCTTCAACAAAAATTCCCCAACAAAACTCTCCACCTCTTCTACAAAAGTCCCTATGGCAAACTTAACATAAACATCAATCAAATTCAAGCAATGATCAAACTTAGATATAGGAAGTGACTTCATCATCAAATTAAGATTGTCTCTATCACAAGAAGTAATAACATCACAACTTGCTCCCTTTGAATAAGTAGAAGGTTCTTCGCTAGGTTCAATACTTTCGACTCTTACCAAATCATAAGCAACCAAATCAGTCTCATTGTACCTCTGTGGAGGTCTAATATATCTTTTCTTCAATTTACTAGTGATAGATGCATCATCTGTAATCGTCTACAAGCCATACAATTGCTCAGACCTTTTTTGTCTCTTTATCATAACTTGACACCTTTGCTAATCGTCAGAACTCCACCTTCACCACTAAAAGTTCTCTATAGCAATCAAAGTTGATGTGCCATTTTCTTGTAGTAATTGCAAATTTTATCGCTATTCTTAGATTTTGATCTGTCCCATTCATGAACAACATATATATAATACTCACACCTCAATTTTTGGGACTAATTATCAAAATTGAAAATTTTGGGCCTCATTTGAAGGTTAATCCACCTTCTAGGACCTTGTAGCAAACTTAGTATAAAGGAAAATTTCCACATGTTTTTGCTTTAAAGAAGGGTTGAATGTTTGGCCAAACCCTTGTATAGAAAATTCTTGATATATGCTTTTTGTCATATTCTTGATCGACCAAATATAGGGTATTGTGTAGTGTGAATGCATGTGTATATAGAATGTCTTATTTACGAGAGAAATGAGGAAGAGATTCTTGCTCATTTTACAAATTTCAAGGAACAATTTTCACTATCGTGGGTTTTTCTTTAATGATGTATGCCTAGTCTTTTCCTATGTAAACCCATTATTCACATTCACAAGCTACCACTCACCAATATTTTTCCATCCAAATAATACATACATATGCATGCACATAGCAGAGGTGGAAACTGTAGAGAAATCAAGCAATTTTATTGTGTATCTATTACTCTTTCTTTTAAATTTCACGATAAGTACGCTACCTATGTTCGGATTATTATTATGTTATTAATTTCAAAAAAATTATTATGGGTTCAATATGGCACAATATAATTATGATTATGATTATGTTAAGAGGATCGGACTTTAGTAGCGCTACACATAAGAATTCTTACCACTTATGCTCGGTAAAATTCTTGTGTCTCCATTATATTGATTATGATTATTATGTTCCTTAAAATTATACACGATAATAATTCATAGCGTACTTATTGAGATTTTATAAATCTCACTCAACGGGTTAGGATTAATAAATTATTTTGTGTTTGAAACACAACTTTGAATTTTTAATTTAACTGTTATGTTTGAAATTTTTTCTTTATTTATTTCTTCACAGTTAGATGATAAAATCACAATTTATTTACTTATTGAACAAAAAAATTTATTTTATGTCATTGTCTAAGTTCTTATGAAAGAATTTGAGTTTTTATTTAGTAACACTAAAATAGTTAAGGATTCAGACCGTCACAATTGGTATCAGAGCTAAGAGTTATTAAATCGGTCATGTACACTTAACAATTTTTTTTCAAAATTTCAAGCTTTACAAATTTTCTGTTAAAAAATTTTACTGCAGCCATTACATTTTTTTCATTTCCAAGTTAGGAGTTTTACTTGTCGAGTTGACCCATTTGTTATGATGATACACTTTTTTTATTAACTATTATTTTGTGTATTTAGAATACACGAATAGATATAAAGTGTACATTTTTCTTGTCAAAACAATTAATTGATGCAAAAAAAATTTCTGTTAATTTTTTTTTTATCATTTAAATTAAGATAAATAGCATCAAAAAGTAACTTTCAAATTATCTATTGGGATTTGCTTAGTGTACACTTTTACAGTCCCCTCACAATAAGGGGGCTCATAAATATAATATTCATGTGAGCCCCCTCAATATGTGAGGGGATGTACACCATGCTATATAGCATGGTGTACAAATAGCTTTTCCCTTATCTATTTCCATCAAATGTTTTCAGTTTATCATGAATGACTCAATTAGGGATGGCAAAAATCTCGATCCACCCAAAACTTGTAGGCCTTTGATTCAAACGGATAAAAATTTCGTTCATCATCTTGTTGACTGGTCAAGTTCAAAGTTAGGTTTGTCGGGGGAGGGGGGATGGGTAGAGGGTGTCCTGCTCCCTGCCCATATAGTTTATTTTTAAAACATTTAAATTTAAATTTCAAAATAAAAATCTAATTTACCCTCCCAATACTAGTAATCTCACTCCCTCTTCAAGGTCTCTACTATTTGTTGTTCATATCTCTCACCCCAATGAAAAATGTATAGAAACAAGTGTTTGCGTGTGTGTCTCTCTGTCTCTGTCTCTCTCTATTCTGTGTCTGCTTTTTTTAATAGATATTTTGAGACTTGCTTTTGCATCTTCTTTCTCTTTTGCTCAGGAGGCGAACAAAGATCAATTTTTTAATTGAGCATGTAATATCATATTACATACCGTTGAGCATTATCTTGATGTATACAATTCACATTAGCATTAAGAAAAATAGATTTTCAATTAGCTCATTTATTCATTGCTGGAATAGCATTGAAAGTCGGTATTAGTGAAACTCATTTTGATAATATAATTTTAATGATCCCAGCATTTTTGTAAAACCATGCTATATTTGTGGCTTTAGAATCCTTTTTTACCTCATTATGTATGATTTTATATTGCCCAAGCGCTTATAAATGTAGTTTTAATCAAGTTTATAGATAAAGTCATTTTATGAAATTAAGAGTGTTAATGAATGAGGATAAGGGAGAGAAACAAGTTTTTGGTTGAGAAAGCTTCGCAAGCATTGAAATATAATGCCTGATAAGGTCCACCAAGTGTTCGATGGAAATTCAAATAGTTGAGGGCATTAGTAAAAAAGAAGAGAGAGAGGAATTCAACTAATCGACTCATCTGTTGGAAATAAAAAATTATGGGATGAAAGACTAGAGAGAAAAATTCAGAAAATTCTCAAAAATATTTGTCTTCTATAGTTTGGCTCAATAAAATGTCTCAAGCACAAGACCTTCTATAGGTACAAAGGATCTCAAATACATTGTATGAAATTAATAGACTAATTAATGACTGTTCCTACATATTATGAATAATAGGATAGAAAGAACCATTTGGATACATGATTTAAATAAATGCATGAATATTAAATAAACTAATTCATATATCAAATTTAATTTTTTTCATCATTCATGAATCAAGTTTAATCTCCAACACCCCTTCTTAAACTTGATTTACTCTTGATAACTCCAATCCAAGTACGTAATCTTGCAAAATCATCATTTTTCAATGGTTTGGTGAAAATGTCTGCAACTTGATCATTGGTCGTCACATAAGCAAGTTCAACTTCTTTGTTCTCAATGCACTTTC